GAGTGTGTCTGAGTGATGAGTGGGTCTGAGTGATGAATGAGTCTGAGTGGTGAGTGAGTCTGAGTGATGAGTGAGTCTGCGTGATGAGTGAGTCTGAGTGGGTCTGAGTGAGAGGAGGTGAGGGTGTTCCTGTTCTCCTGTGTTCCTCCGGCGCGGTCTGCCAATACTTACTCGACGCGGGGCTCCCCATATGTGCATCCCATTCTCTTGGTACGTCTTTGTCTTGATATCTGTCAATGAGCGCCTGTGTGCGAGGGCGAACCGCTCGCTCGAGACATTCCCACAGTCTGCAAGCATGAGTGCGACCAATAGCAAATTTGAGAGCGACTGATTCTGAGTGTGAGTTAATTTGGGTGCGATTGAGCCTGGGTTTGAGTGGGCATGCGTGTGAGTAAATATGAGCGCGAGTGCGTCTGTGTGCGAGTGGGTCTGAGTATGGACGAATCTGAGTGTGAGCCAGTCTGTGATTGAGCGGATCGTAGCATGATGAGCCTGAGCATGAGTGAGTCTGGGCTTGAGTGGGTCTGAATGTGAGAAAAAGTGTCTGTTAATGAATCTGAGTGCGAGTGAGCCGAGTGTGATTGGGTATGGCTGCGAGGCAGTTTGAATGTGAGTCGGTCTGCGTTTGAGCGGACCGACGGGTGATGAGTCTGAGCAAGAGCGAGTCTGAATATGAGTGGTTCTGAGCGTGAGTCTGAGTGTGGGTAAGTTCAAATATGAATATGAGCGAGTCTAAGTGCGAGTGAGCCTGCGTGTGACTGAGTCTGAGTATGAGTGGGTATGAATGCAGAATGGTGACGGAGAGCAGAGAGCGAAGGAGAGTGAGGCTGAAGCGTTTGAGTAAAACCTAAAGCTTTGGAGCATCGAACCTCGATCGTCTGGCCCTGGCTACTCGAGTTGCCCACGTCCTCCCCCTCCTCCTCCTCCTCCTCCTCCTCCTCCTCCTCCTCCTCCTCCTCCTCCTCATCATCATCATCCCCTTCCTGCTTCTGCTCCTACCGTGTGCATGCTGTCCTCCATCTCCTCCTCCTCCTCCTCCTCGTCCTCTTCCTCCTCCTCCTCGCTTCCTCCTTCTCTTCCTCCTCCTCCTCCTCCTCCTCCTCCTCCTCCTCGTCCTCCTCCTCCTCCTCCTCCTCCTCCTCCTCCTCCTCCTCCTCCTCCTCCTCCTCCTCCTCCTCCTCCTCCTCCTCCTCCTCCTCCTCCTCCTCCTCCTCCTCCTCCTCCTCCTCCTCCTCCCCTCCTCCTCCTCCTCCTCCTCCTCCTCCTCCTCCTCCTCCTCCTCCTCCTCCTCCTCCTCCTTGGGAGTGCTGAAGCCAGCAAATCGCCTGACACATCCGCCCAACACCGCTCCGAAAACGACAAATGCCCAGCACCATAACGGCCAAACCACCCGAGACATCCCCGCACACTGGGCGTGAACGTCCTCCAAATCTGTTCCGAAAGCGAAACCTGTTGGAAGAGAAAATGGCCAAACCGCCTGAGACATCCCCACACAATCCAACGAAAGGGGCCGAGTGAAATACCCCCCCGCCGCTCCTCTTAGAGTGCTGAAACCAGCGAATCGCTTGAGACATCGTCCAAATCTGCTCCGAAAGCTAAGCATGTTGGAAGAGAAAATGGCCAAACCGCTTGAGAGATCCCTGCAAAATCCAGCGAAAGGGGCCGAGTGAAATACCCCCCGCCGCTTCCCCTAGAGTGCTGAAACCAGCGAATCGCTTGAGACATCGTCCAAATCTGCTCCCAAATCGACCCAAGTTGGAAGAGAAAATAGCCAAACCGCCTGAAACATCCCCACAATATCCAGCGAAAGGGGCCAAGTGAAATACCACCCCGCCGCCCCCCTTAGGGGGGGCTGGAAAAAACGAATCGCCTGAGACATCCTCCAAATCTGCTCCGAAAGCGAAACATGTTGGAAGAGATAATGGCCAAACCGCCTGAGACATCCCCACAGAATCCTGCGAAAGGGGCCGAGTGAAATACCCCCCCGCCGCTCCCCTTAAGAGTACTGAAGCCACAGAATCGCCTTAGACATCCTCAACATCAGTGTGTGGAAGTCATCCGATGAGTGGACCTGAGTGACTGTAGTGAATGTATGAGTACAAGTGCGAGTGAGTCTGAGTGATGGGTGAGTCTGAGTGATGAGTGAGTCTGAGTGATGAGTGAGTCTGAGTGATGAGTGATGAGTCTGAGTCATGACTGAGTCCGAGTGATGAGTGAGTCTGAGTGATGAGTGAGTCTGAGTGATGAGTGGGTCTGAGTGGTGAGTGAATATGAATGATGAGTGAGTGGCTCTGAGTGAGAGGAGTGGTGTGTTCTCTCTCCTCTGGCGCGGTCCTCCAATAACTTCCTCCTCCTCCTCCTGCTCTTCCTCCTCCTCCTCCTCCTCTTCCTCCTGCCTCCTCCTCCTCCTCCTCCAAATCTGCTCCGAAAACGAAACATGTTGGAAGAGAAAATGGCCAAACCGCCTGGGACATCCCCACAAAATTCCGCGAACGAGACCCCGTGATAACGCCACCGCCGTTCCCCTTAGAGTGCTGAGACGAGCGAATCGCCGGAAACATCCTCCAAATCTGCCCCGAAAGCGAAACATGCTGGAACAGAAAATGGCCAAACCGCCTGAGACATCCCCACACAATTCCGCGAACGGGACCCCGTGATAACGCCCCCCGCCGCCCCCCTTAGGAGTGCTGAAGCCACAGAATCGCCTGAGACATCCTCAACGTCAGTGTGTGTGAGTCATCTGATGAGTGGACCGAGTCTGAGTGGTGAGTTGTTCTCGGGGCCGTCTAAGTGATGACTGAGTCTGAGTGATGACTGCGTCTCAGTGATGAGTGCGTCTGAGTGATGACTGAGTCTGAGTGAAACTGAGCATGAGGGAGTCTGAGTGGTGAGTGAGTCTGAGTGATGAGTGAGTCTGAGTGATGATGAGTGAGTCTGAGTGATGAGTGAGTCTGAGTGATGAGTGAGTCTGAGTGATTGATGAGTGAGTCTGAGTGATGAGTGAGTCTGGATGATGAGTGGGTCTGAGTGATTGAATGAGTCTGCGTGATGAATGAGTCTGAGTGATGAGGAGGGAGGAGGAGGTGAGGGTGAGTTCCTCCGGCGCGGTCCGCCAATAACAAGAACCCCATCTTAGGATATGGGGAACAAGAACCCCATTCTGAGGATATGGGGAACAAGAACTCCATCTTAGGATATGGGGAACAGGAGCCCCATTTTAGGATATGGGGAAAAATGCCGATTCTTGAAGTAGGAAGGCGCTTAAAGTAGATTGGGCTCTGGGAATCCAAAATACATATTTACAACGACCGGCGTGTAACGCTCATCGACATTCTCGTGATGGTGGGGGCCGTCTTTCTCTCCCCCGCGCCCTTTTCTCCTCGCTCTGGCGGAGGCCTTTGTCCCGCCCCTGCTTGGCCTCCTCCTCCTCCTCCTCCTTATCCTCGTCATCCACCTTCCTCCTCCTCCTCCTCCTGCTTTTTCTCCTCCTCCTCCTCCTTATCCTCTTCATCCACCTTCCTCCTCCTCCTCCTCCTCCTCCTCCTCCTCATTCTCCCATTTCCCCTCATCCTGCCTTTTCTCCTCGTGTATTTCCTCCCCCGCCCCCCTTGCACGGGCGCGCATGTCGATTTTCCTCGGCGCTGTCGCCGCCGCGGCCAGCTGCGGCGCATCCTCCGACAACCAGATCGCGAAACCGTTGGGACAACCCCGCGCGCCAGGTCACGGAGAAAAAATCCAACGGGCCGATGGGGCGCTAGATCAAGCCGTCGGGACAAGTACGGAGCCCAACGAGGATCACAGTTACAGGCTTTGGATGACATACTTTGTAATGTGGGGGCCCCATAGGGAGGCGGGCTCCCGCCTGAGACTTCCTCACGATTCACTCACAGACGAGGCTCCCCCTCGAGACTTCCTCCCTCAAGGTGAGTATGTGAGCGAGGGAGAGCGAGTGTGTGACCGAGTGCGTGAGTGCATGTGAGATGATGGTGCTGCTGCTCATGATGTTACTAATGATAATGATGCTGATGATGTTGATTGCGATGATGACGATGATTATGACGATGCTGATGACTATGATGATGGTGATGCTGATGTTGATGATGATGCTTCTATAAGTGATCATGATGGTGATGATCATGGTGTGGTGCGAAGACGGCGCGAAGGGAGGAGGCTCCCGCACGATACTTCCTCGCAGCTGACGATGGCGATAGCGCGCCCACATGATGTGTGAGGAAGTATTGCGGGAACAGTGTGACTGCCCCCGTGATGATGATGACGATGGCGATGTTAATGATGATGGTGATGCTGATGCTGATGACGACGATGAGGCTTATAATGCTGATGACGATGGTGATTATGATGGTGATGATGATGATGTTGATGACGATGGTGGTGATGATGGTACGGATGCTGATGATGCTGCTGCCGATGCTGATGACAGTGATGACTGGCGATCATGATGGGACGGTGGTAGTGATGGTGATCACGATGGTGGAGTGATGGTGTTAGTCATCATGATGGTGATGGTGATGGTGATCGTGATTCGTGTGACAGGAGAAGCGGATGAGAGGGGGGTGGGTGTTCCTGCGCGGGGGGTCCAGAGAAAACAATGACCCCATGGCAACTCTTGTCGCGATCGGGGGTGCGCCTGTCCTAGGGCGGGCTGGTAATCTTGACATACTCCTGCGGTGGCAGATGGAGGTAGAAATTCCCAGCCGCCTTGGGACCAGCGCCCACGATCGCGGAACAGCGCTCTTGCACAGCTGTTTCTTCAGAGCTCGGAGCACTCTGTTTTCGTTGCTGTTCGTTCGCTCGTTCGCCCGTCGCTCCTCCCCCCCCCTGGGCCGTCTCTGCCCATGCCTCCGCACGCTGGTCACGATGGCCCCAGGAGAGCACCAGGACGGCCCCAAGACCCCCCCCCCGCCTCCTCACCCCGCCTCGCCTGGCCCACGCCCTCCCTCGTGCAGGAACCAAGGCGTGCGCGCCACTGGCCCCTTTTGCGCCACCCTTCGCCCGCCACCTTTCGCACACTGCGGCGCTCGCCCCGCCGGGGGGCGGCCCGCGGCGCCGCGCGGGCGGTGGCTAACCCCGCGCTGCGCGCGCGGCCCGCCAGGGGGCCAGCGCTACGCGCACGACGGCAGTGGCCGAGACTTGGCGCGCTCCTGGCGGAGCGCGGGGGCCGCTGCCGAGCGACGGCGCGTCTCCGCTGCGGGCTGGACCGGCATCCTTTCGCTTTTCCCCAATCAGTGCTGGCACTGAAGGGGTCCTGGCGGAAGCTGAAAGATTAGGCGACAATTTCCCGCCGATTTTGGTAGCAAGCCGGGTTCCCGGCTTCCCGGTCCCGGGTTCCCGGGTTCCCGGTTATTGGTTCCGGGCCGATTCCAGCGGGTTCTGGGTTCCTGGGCTCCCGGGTTCCCGGTCGATCTCCTCAGCGAAAACCATCCACTGATTGGGGCTTTTCTCTGGTGCACTTGATGTTCGCTTCTCATGTAACGAACTTCCTGGCAAAAGACCCAGCCACGTGCAGTTGTGTGTGTCGTCGCTGTGGGTCTCGCCTATCGCTTTATGAGGCCACGAAGCGTGCGAAGGGTGTGCCCTAATGGGGCGAGACCGCCATGCGGGCGGTGCCGCTGGGGTATATGGAGCCCCCATATGGGGCCAGAAAACATGCCGAAATAGGGCGGGGCCGCCATACGGGCGTTGCCACTGGAGCCTTAGGTGGAGCTCCCTATGGGGCCATGAAGCGTGGCATGCGGGTCCTGGCACTAGGGCCTTCGGTAAAGCTCCCTATTGGGCCGCGAAGCGTGTGAAGGTGTGTGACGAAAGAGGCGTGACGCCCACACGCGAACGTCGACACGAGGGCCTTAGGTGGAACTCCACATGGGGCCACGAAACGCGTGAGGGGTGTGCGCAAAAAGCGTGACGGCCGAATGCGAAAGTCGCCACTGGGGCCTTAGGTAGAGCTCCCTATAGGGCAACGAATCGCGTGAGGTGTGCCGAAAAGGGCGTGACGCCCACATGCAAACGGCGCCACTGGGGCCTTAGGTGGAGCTCCCTGCGGTGCCACGAAGCGTGTGAGGGGTGCGCCGAAACTGTGGAACGCCCACATGCGAACGTCGCCACTGGGGCCTTAGGTGGAGCTGCCTATGGGGCCGCGAAGCGTGTGAAGGGTGCGCCGAAACGGGCGTGATGCCCACACGCGAACGTCGTCACTGGGGCCTTAGGTGGAGCTCCCTATGGGGCTACGAAACGCGCGCGGGGTGTGCCGAACAGAGCGTGACGCCCGCATGCGATAGTCGCCACTGGGGCCTGAGGTGGAGCTCCGTATAGGGCAACGAAACGCGTGAGGTGTGTGTGTGTGTGTGTGTGTGTGTGTGTGTGTGCCGAACAGGGCGTGACGCCCACACGCGAACATCGCCACTGGGGCCTCAGGTGGAGCTCCCTGCGGTGCCACGAAGCGTGTGAGGGGTGTGCCGAAAAGGGCGTGACGCCCACACGCGAACGTCGCCACTGGGGCCTTAGGTGGAGCTCCCTGTCGGGCAACGAAGCGCGTGAGGGGTGTGCCGAAACGGGCGTGACGTCCTCATGCGAACGTCGCCACTGGGGCCTTAAGTGGAGCTCCCTCGGGGCCACGACGCGTGCGAGGGGTGTGCCGAAATTGACATACGGAGGGCATATGACAGGAGGGGGAGGAGAAAGAGGAGGAAGGGAAGGAAGTAGGTCTGAGTGAGTGACGCGGGGCGCTCTCTCAAGACGAGGACCCAACACCACATGATGGTTGGCACAAAAATCACGACGGAACATTTTCGGCAATTTTCGGCTTGAAGAACACTCGCCGGGCCTCGGGAACGTCCAACATCGACTCGGGATGATAGCCCGGTCTCGGAGAGGTGTCCAGACCTCTGGTGGTCCACGCTGAGGAGAACACGCGACGTCGGATGTCTGTGTATGCAAGATCAGTGAGCATCGCATCGGGAAATTGGATGGAATCGGAGTGTGCGTCGGATCGGGCCGTGTCGGCACGGAGGCGGACTCGAATCGGATCGGCCGCGCCAAAATGCACTGCGGCGCCATGCGAGCCTCGTGCCGCATCGCATCGTCGGGATATCGGAGTCGAATCGGGTCGGGCCAGCCAGAACTAATATCGAATCGGATCGATCAGATCGAGGTGGACCAAGACTAGGTCTGGCCACCATGTAATTCCGCCACGTCTGAAGGCTCTTTTCTTTTCCTCTGGGTGGTATCGAATGGGACGCTCGACGACAAGATGCACCAGTGTCGAGAACGGTCCCTGTCCAGCCCCTGGTGTATCCAGCTCTTCCAAACAAGTCTAGACCACCAGCTCATGTAGACATGCTTCATTGCCACGCCTGGCCATGATTTTCGTGCGATACATCAAGCTACCCCTGTCTGCGAGCGGGACAACGACGAACGGACGGACCCCAGGAGCATGGTCGGAAATCCCCCCTCCTCTGAGCCCAAGACTTCCAGCGTGCACCCTAGCGGCCCCAAAGAGGCCGCGCAGAGGACACCAAGAAGGGCCCTCCCCAGCGGACCCCAAGGCGGCCCCCCGAGAGGGGGGGCAACGGGCGGGTCTGAGGTGCACGGTTGGGAAGCTGCCCCCCCCTCTGTCGAAGATTGCCCCAAGACGCTCCGAGGAGGATCCCCCTAGGGCGTCCCAAAATGCTGGGACTACTGGGGGAAAGCGGGAGGGATAATTCACAACGCAAGGGATCGCAATATTCCCGAGCATGCTCCCAGTAGCCCCTCCCTAGGACCATCCGCCACCGTGCCTTGGCGCGGGCCTGGGGCGTGGTATAATGCTTGCTAGTTGTGCTGTCTGGTATGGTTCTTCTTCTCCTCCTCCTCCTCCTCCTCCTCCTCCTCCTCCTCCTCCTCCTCCTCCTCCTCCTCCTCCTCCTCCTCTTCGATCCTCGACGTTGGAAAGTAAAGATTTCTGGGCGTTTTCTGTTTTTGTTGCGCCTCTGGATGCCCCTGGCACCTCCAGACACCTCCCCCGATTAGCGTACAAGTGGCGCGTCGCCCTCGTCGCGGCTTCTCCCTGCCAGTCGACCCCCGCAGCGTTCAACCGATCCCCATCCCCACTGGAATGGCCTTGGCCCCGCTGGCTGATTTACCTCTCTATGTGTGGATACAGGCTGTTCCCTTCGGGTTTCGAGGTGCCTATCCCGAACTGCGGGGGGGAGTGGAACTGTGGGGCTAATATACCATGGCCTGGTGGGGATGGGGGCAGGTTAAACGATGCTGACCCAACGGAGCTCCAAGGCTGCCACGAAACCAGATTACACGGCCCCCATAACAACCTACAAGGGCTCTGGACGTTCCAAGATGTCCTGAAGAGAAGAGGTCCCCCAACGGCGCCCAATGAGGCCACCCGCGGAACTTGGGAGTCGAACAGCAATGACTCTCTATGTTCTTTTTTTGGGAGGGGGGGGGGGTATTCTGATGCTTTCAATTTGATGCGGGCTGAAGACGGTCCCTGGGATTCCCAAGGCGAACCGTGGCGACCAAGACTGCGCCAAGACGCCCAGAAAGCTCCCGATACGCCTTCCAAAGACGATCAGAACGGTCCCGACAGGTCTCACAAAAGCCTCCCGAGTGCGCTCGCGAGGGATGAGGGGAACGGTGATGATAATGATGATGACGATGGCCATGACGATCATTATGCTGCTGTTGTTGGTGGTGATGATGCTGGTGGTGATGATGCCGATGATGGGAAGACGGTGATGATGTTGATGGTGATGCTGATGATGATGCTGATGATGATGCTGCTGATGATACTGATGATGATGATGATGCTGATGATGATGATGAAGATGTCGGCGATGACGACGACGATGACGATGGCGATGACGATGATGCTGATGATGCTGATGATGATGACGAGGATGCTGCTGCTGTTGTTGATGACGATGACGATGACGACGATGATGCTGCTGCTTATGATGATGGTGATGATGATGATGGTAATGACGACGAGGATGCTGCTGCTGCTGATGATGACGATGCTGATGGTGCTGGTGGAGATGGTCATGCTGGTGATGAGGAAGATGGTGGTGGTGAGATGATGATGACGACGAGGATGCTGCTGCTGATGATGATGCTGATGGTGCTGGTGGTGGTGGAGATGGTCATGATGATGAAGATGGCGGTGGTGATGATGTTGAAGATGCATGTGATGATGCCGATGATGATGATGATGATGATGATGATGCTGATGATGATGATGATGATGATGATGATGATGATGCTGATGCGGATGATGATGATGATGATGATGATGATGATGATGATGATGATGGTGATGATCATCATCGTCATGGTGGTGATGATGATGCTGCTGCTGATGATGATGAGGGTGGAGAATGAAGATGGAGACAAAGTGCTTGTTTTTCAAGACCCGTGCCAATTGAGACAGGGAGCTGAACTGGAGCGGGTCTTCCCTAATGCAATGCTGCGCTGGCACTTTGGCGCTTTTCTATTTGTTGTTTCCCCCCCGCACGCAGCTGGATAGCTTTGAAAACGTTGTGGCCCTCATTCAATGCCACTACGCCCTTGACCAACAGCCCAGGCACTGTATTTACGGGGATGTGCCGCTGTATGCCTTTTCGTCTCGTAATCAGCCGTTACACCTAGCAACAACAATGGCTGAAACCTCGACTACATCATCTGGCTCAGAGCTTGGAAGACCAACAGCAGATGTACAGCATTCGCGCAGAAATCGCTAAAGACGTGAACAAATCCTGTGCGCCACGCAGCAGAGGCAGCAAAGCTCTTGGCGAGCCTTAATCTGACCGACCTTTTTCGCCAAACGATCCAACCAGAGGGCGGGCCATCTTCTCTTCTGATATACTGGGTCCAAACATCTGGCGGGCCAATTTTGCTCGCAGCGTGCCCCCCCCCTCTCCGGCGGAACTCTCGACCCCTTCCTGGAGATCACTTTCTGATCCCGTGTCGTTCTTCCCGACCCCTGACGGCGTGACATTTTCACAACATGGTTCCCCAAAGGCCTGCATCCCTTTCCTCGGCGGCGAGCCCGGGGGGGAATGAGAAGGAGAAGGCCTTCTCAGAAGGCTCAGTAGTCCCCCGTCCTTCTGAGAAGTTCTTGAAGCCTTCCCCGACGACACAAAAAACCTCTCGGAAGGCGCGAGGGCTTCTGAGAAGTCCCGCCGCCTTGAGAAGGCCTTCTCCTTCTCGTTTCTCCCCTCGCTCGCCGCCGATATCCTGGGACCGTCTTTTCATCCCGAATCGCTTTTTGAAGGTCCTGGCCCCGTGGGAGCCCTCAAAGGCCGGAAAGATCAAACAAAAACCTAGCGCCGTTTTTTCCTAACCATCCTGTGGTGTTGGGTCCTCGCTCTGAAGAGACAGCGCCCCGCGTTCCTCCTCACTCCTCCTCCTCCCCCTCCTTCCTCCCTTCTTCCGCTGCCTCAATTTTGGCACACCCCTCACACGCTTTGTGGCCCCACAGGGAGCTCCACCGAAGGCCCCGATGGCAGTGTCCGCATGCAGTTCCACCTTCATTTCGGCGCATCCCTCACACGCGCCGTGGCCCCATAGGGTGCTCCGCCGAAGGCCGGATGCAGTCACAACCCCATTTCGGCGCACCCCTCACACGTTTCGTGGCCCCATATGGTGCTCCACCCAAGGCTCCAGTGGCAGGGTTCGCATGCAGCTCCACCTCCATTTCGGCGTACCCCTCACACGCTTTGCGGCCCCATAGGGTGCTCCATCGAAGGCCCACGTTCAAGGTCCGCATGCAGTTCCACCTCCATTTCGGCGCACCCCTCACACGTTTCGTGGCCCCACAAGGTGCTCCACCGAAGGCCCCAGTGGCAGAGTCCCACATGCAGTTCCACCCCCATTTCGGCGCACCCCTCGCACGTTTCGTGGCCCCATAGGGTGTTCCGCATGCAGTTCCACCTCCATTTCGGCACACCCCTCACAAGTTTCGTGGCCCCATAGGGTGCTCCACCGAAGGCCCCAGTGGCAAGGTCCACATGCAGTTCCACCCCCATTTCGGCGCACCCCTCGCACGTTTCGTGGCCCCACAAGGTTGCCCGCCGAAGGCCCCAGTGGCAGGGTCCGCATGCAGTTCCACTGTTCCACCTCCATGTCCATGTCGGCGAACCCCTCACACGTTTCGTGGCCCCATAGGGTGCTCCGCCGAAGGCCCCCGTGGCAGGGTCCTCATGCAGTTCCACCCTCTATTTCGGCGCACCCCTCGCGCGTTTCGCGGCCCCATAGGGTGCTCCACCGAAGGCCTCAGTGGCAGGGTCCCGCATGCAGTTCCACCCCCATTTCGGCGCACCCCTCACACGTTTCGTGGCCATAGTCGGTTCACCGCAGGCCCCAGTGGCAGGGCCCCTATGCAGTTCCACCTCCATTTCGGCGCACCCCTCGCACGTTCGGGGGCCCCGGAATGTGCTCCACCCAAGGCCCCAGTGGCAGCGCCCGCATGCGGTTCCACCCTCCGTTTCGGCGCACCCTTCACACGTTTCATGACCTCACATGGGGCTCCACCGACGGCTCGGGTGGCAGCGTCCGCATGGCGTGCCCGTGCCAATTTTGGCACACCCGTCACACGCGCCGTGGCCCCAGAGAGAGGTTCACCGAGGACGATACCCACAACTGCGTTACTCACCACTGCACATGGTTGGGTCCTTCGCCCGGATAATTTGACGACGCGAGGGGGTCTTTCTTGACGGTCCCGGGGCCGAAGCCAGCCCCCAGGGAGCCCAAACCCTCTCCGCCGACGTCGCGCTTCTTTTGTGAAGTGGGCCTCCAATGATCTCGACCACCTCTCCTCTTCACCGCTGGAGTTTTTTAAATAAGATAAAGGGTGTTCGATGTGAATGCTGAGGTGAGCTATATCTGGACTAGCCTAGCTTATGCGCGGGTTGCCACTTGCCTAAAAGGGTTTAGGGGCAGCACAGGTCTGGTTTAAGTGGCCAGAGCCCATTTCGCGGAGGTATCTGATCACCCTCTACAACTTAGGGCACTTGTTACCCACTCTCATAAACTAGGGGTTAGGGCATATGTGAGCCACCTTAGCATCCACTTTAAACCTCCCTATCCCATTCACGACAACCCCCCAGGCGATCTCAACAAGAAGAGAAAGCGTCAGCAACAACTGCCGTGCCGATTCTTTGCGTCGCCAGAGGTCTGGGATGATGACGGCACCCAGGAGGAAACCGACTGCTCGATCGCTGGAGACTTCGTCGTCGCCGCCGCCATCGTCGTCGATAGTCGTCATCGCCGTGTTGTCGAGGCCACTCATAGCTGCAAGAAGGTGGAGATCGCGCGAAGGCAAGGTCGCAAGCAGCGGCGTCCTTGGCGAATCTTGAGATGATCGAAACCGCCCGTCCAACTCCGTCCTCGCGGCGGTCTGTCTTCCTTTCGACACTCCCCCAAACCTTCTCTTCCTTCTCCACCCTCCACTTCAACATCCTCCTTCGCATCCTCCTCCGCTTTCTCCAGGAAGCGTCGGCGGGGGTAATTATGTCTACGGCCAAGAACTTGTGCTCAGCGTGTCGCGGCGGCGGCCCGGGCGACACGCTATGCCCTTCAAGCTGCTAGAGTGTCGCTCTCCTCCGTGTGACGGGAGGCTGGGAAAGGCTCGGAACGCTGACGCTCGGGGACGGGGAAGCGGTCAGCGTGTCGCGCCGAAGCGTGGTGGGCCAAAACCGGCGGCGCGACACGCCAATCCAACGTTGCTGTCCGTATGTCCGATCATGGGGCCCTTGTCCTCCTTCTTCTCCTCCTCCTGACGCGCTCCCCGGGTCGTGCGTGCGGCGAGAAGCGCCGCACATGCACCTGCGTTCTACATCCTGTCTCGCTCCACTCTGGGGTCGCCCCAAGGCATGCGCCCCGTCGCATCTGCTTATGGCACTGCGGCGGGAGCCGTCGCGGGCCAAATGATCCCATCTTTCTCTACCTCCTCTCCGGCTTGCTTCTCCCACTCCTCCTCCCCCCCCTCCCCCTTCCCCCCCTCCCCCCTCCCTCTGCCCAGACGCTCCCAGATCCCCGATGTCAAGTCATGCTTTGTTTTTGTTTTTTTTGTTTTTGCTGTTGCTGTTGCTGTTGCTGCTGCTGCTGCTGTTGTTGTTGTTGTTGTTGTTGTTGTTGTTGTTGTTGTTGATGTTGATGTGAATGTGAGTATGCTGGTGATTGTGATTGTTGTTGGTGGTGGTGCTGCTGTTGTTGTTGCTGTTGTTGAAATCTCACTCCTGAAGAATAATTGCGGTTGGTGCCCCTCTCTCCGGGGCACATGGCATTTTTCAATTGAAGTACCCTTCCCGGGGCTCGCACCCTGTTTTTTATCAGGGCAAATCTTGGGTCTCAGAATGGGTCCCTCGCCCCCGAGTTACAACAACAACGGCTCCCTTCTGATGCTTCCTCATCATTCATTCCCAAATCGCGCTCTCGCGAGGGACGTCCTCACATTTGTACAGAAATCGCGCTCTCGCGTGGGACTTCCTTGCAATCTATTCAGACGCCGCGCCCTGAACACTCAAGAATCACGCTCTCGCTGTGGCCTATCTCACGATTTACTTGGGAATCGCACTATCGCTCGAGACTCTCGATTCATGCAGGACGCACGCTTGAGCAACCCGCCTGCTCGACCTGGCCGCCTGGGCCCGCCTTCCCGCCCGCCTGTTAGGGTCTACCCGCCCGATCTGCCCGTGTGGTTCTGCCACGCGTTTTCTGCTCCTAGCCCCTCTCCTGCTACTATCCCTCTCTCTCCCTCTCGTGCTCCATCCTCCACCTTTCCCCTTGTTCCTCCCTCTCCTCCCGCATCAGGAACTGCACGCAATACACGTTGCAGGTAAGAAAGATATACCCCCCTGGGGGGTGCGATCGAAGACGAAGGGGGCGGGTATCGAGGCTTCGGGACATACATGTTGAATGGCACGCGCGCGAATAAGAACGATCAATACTAAAATGATTGTTGCTGTTATTGTTGTTGTTGTTGTTGTCGTTGTCGTTGTCGTTGTCGTTGTCGTTGTTGTTGTTGTTGTTGTTGTGGACTTATCATTCCCGGTAACCGTTTCGATTTTCAATTGACGTGCTTCTCCCGGGGCGAGCACCCGGTTTTTCTACAATGGAAAGCGAACTGTCACCAAACTGCGCCCCGACCCCGGCTTATAACAACAACAATCATTTTAATACTGATCGCTCTTATCTGCTCGCGTGCCATTCAACACGTATAACCCAAACCCTCGGTACCCGCCCTCGTCTTCTTCGATCGTACCCCCCTTGGGGGTATACTTTCCTAACCTGCAACGTGCATTTCGTCCAGCCTCTGATGCAGGGGACGAGAGGACGGATGAAAGGAAGGGACACTGAGCAAGCAGGATGATTGAGCATGAGAGGCACAGAGAGAGAGAGAGAGAACAAAAAAAACAAACATTACACCAGAAGAGGGGCTAGGAACAGAAATCGCGTGGCAGAACCACACGGGCAGATCGGGTGGGTAGACCCTAACAGGCGGGTCGGGAAGGCGGGCCCAGGCGGCCAGGTCGAGCAAGCGGGTTGCTGAAGAGTGCGTCCTGTATGAATCGCGAGGAAATCTAAAGCGATAGCGCGATCTGCAAGGGGGCCACGAAGGGCAGCGAGGGGGACACGAAGGAACGGGGCCACGAAGGGCAGCGAGGTGGCCACAAAGGAACGGGGCCACGAAGGGCAGCTAAGGGGCCACGAAGGGCTGCAACGGGGCCACGAAGGGCAGCGAGGGGGTCATGAAGGGCTGCAACGGAGCTACGAAGGGCAGCAAGGGGGCCACGAAGGAACGGGGCCACGAATGGCAGCGAGGGGGTCACGAAGGGCTGCAACGGGGCCACGAATGGCAGCGTGGGGGCCACGAATGGGCAGCGAGGGGGCCACGAAGGGCAGCGAGGGGGCCATGAAGGGCAACGAGGGGGCCACGAAGGGCAGCGACGGGGCCACGAAGGGCTGCAACGGGGCCACGAAGGAAAGCGAAGGGGCCACGAAGGGCAGCAACGGGGCCACGAAGGGCAGCGAGGGGGCCACGAATGGGTGCAACGGGGCCACGAAAGGCAGCGACGGGGGCACGAAGGGCTGCAACGGGGCCACGAAGGGCAGCGACGGGGGCACGAAGGGCTGCAACGGGGCCACGAAGGGCAGCGAGATTTTGTTTCCTAAATAAGCTGTGAGGGATTCCTGGGCGCGAGCGCGACTCCTGGGTGCCTGAGTGTCGGGAGCGTGGCGCTTGATTGAATGGCGGGGAATTCCAACGCAAAAACGCGATTCTGGAGTAAATTGTACGCAAGTCTCCAGCGAGAGCGCGACTCCAGAGCGCCGAAAGAACGATTCCGGAATAAAATGCAAGGACGTCCCAAGCGAGAGCGCGATTCCTGAGTAAAATGCGAGAAAGTCTCAGGCGGGAGCGGGGGTCCTGCTCAATTGTGAAGAAATCTGAAGCGGGAGCCGCTGTTGTTGCAATCCGGGGCCAACAACGCAGTTTGAGCCTAGAGACTTTCTTTGATACATAACAAAGTGCGAGCCCCGGGGAAGCACTTCAATTGCAAGAAACACAATGGTCACCAGAGGGGGGATCAACAATAACTTTTCTTCAAATAATTCAACAGCAAAGGCTCCCGCCTGCTACATCCTCACAATTTTTTTAAGAATCGCGCTCTCGCGCGGGACTTCCTCACAATGTATGCTGGAATCGCGCTTTCGCGTGAGACTTCCTCCGGATTGATGCAACGCCGCTTCCTCGACACCCAGGAATCACGCTCTCGCTTTGGCCTTGGAAACCGTGCTGTCGCTCGCGATTCATGCAGGACTCACGCTTCAGCAACCCGCCTGCTGGACCTGGCCGCTTGGGCCCGCCTTCCCGACTCGTCTGTTAGGGTCTACCCGCCCGATCTGCCCGTGTGGTTCTGCCACGCGCTTTCTGCTCCTGGCCCCTCTTCTGGTGTACTCTCTCTCCCTCTCTCTCATGCTCAATCATCCTCCTTTCTCAGTGTCCCTTCCTTCCTGCCTGCTCGACCTGGCCGCTTGGGCCCGCCTTCCCGACTCGCCCGCTAGGGTCTGCCCGCCCGCTCTGCCCGTCTGGTTCTGCCACGTGTTTTCTGCTGCGCACAATCGTCTTAACAATTTGGAAGAGTTAGCGCCCCTCAAACGGGGACTCCACTAACGGGTACTTTGGCCAGTGACCCAGCGAACCCAACCCTTCCCGATGTGGGCAACGCTGCAATGCCAGAAAAAGGTCCTAAAGTGGCAACTTTCGGCAAAATTTCAAAGTACCGGTTAGTAAGTACCCGTTACGGTGCCGTTGAAAGAGTTCCGCGGACTGAGGGCCGGCGGTTTTCAAAACGTGGCTCTCGCTTCAGCGTCGCGCGCACTCGTGTCACATTCTTGCAGTCGTTTCACGGATTGCGGGCGGGCCGTTTTCAACATGTGGCTCTCACCTTAGCACCGCGCGCGCTCGTCGCAACAAGTGCAAGAGGTTCGCGGACTCGCATGGCCAGCGTACCAGAACCTGTGTGCTGGGACGGTTCAGGATTGTCAAGGCGCAGCGGTTTCGTTGATTCGCGGTGTTGAAAGCCAAGGAACGGTGTTCTGGCACGATTCGCGATTGTCACAACGCAACAATCTGGTTGATTCGTGGCGTTGGAGTTCCGAGAATGGTGTTCTGGCAGACTTCAGGATCTTCAAACGGTTGTCTCCCAATGGGGTACTTCCCTCAGAGGAAATAAATCCTTGTATGAGGCCCATGAAGAAGGAGCTTGGAGGGAGGGTTTATTCTACAATCGTCTCTTGGGTTTGCACTGGTCCTCCTCCTCCTCCTCCTTCCTTCTCCTCCTTGTCCTCCTCCTCCTTATTCTCATCCTCCTCCCCCCTTCTTGCTCCTCCACCAGCTTCAGCCGCAAGCGGCGACCCGACCGGATCGACCCCTGCCTCTCACGGGAGGAGCCTCCAGTATCGGGGTCCACCAAGGGGGGGGAACCCTGAGGGGGGGGGTGAGTTCGATCCGCTGGTGCATCGAATTTCCGAAAAACGATGCCCCCCCACCCCCCCCGATTGTCGACACCTCTCGGGTTCTGGCGGCGGCCGGAGACCCCGTTTTGCATGGTTTTTCTGCGGTTTGATTCGCCAAATGGACCGAACTCCCCCCCCCTGTGGCACCCCGCCCTTTGCGAGGTCCTGACAGTAGCCCGCAGCGGTGATCGATTGCCCCGCCCTCGCGTCGGGCGGCGCCGGTGCGGGAGCGCACCACTTGGCCTGGAGCTGGGCCCGGGCACGCAGGCGCCCTGGAGACGGACAGGGCCGTCCTGACAGTCGGTGGGGGGGTCGCCACTTCCTCTAGACGAGCGCGTTCCACTACTCGCAAAGTAACTACTCGCAAATGGCATGGATCCGCCGCGGGAGATCTGCGATAAACTGCACAAAGGCAGGCGCACGGCTTTTCGGACGTTTGCGAGTAGGCACTTTGCAAGTAGTGGAACGCGCACGGTGATCCTCGAGGAAGCACCTCTTCCTCCAGGAAGCGGGTCCCCAAGAGCACTCTGGAGCCTTCCCAAACGACCCCAAACGTCCAAAAACCTCGTCGGGCCTCGATCCTGGAGCCTCGATCCTAGCGGTGACTCCCGTTGCCCTTTGGCGCTGCCCGATGGTTCTTGCCATGGCTAAGGGTTCGGAGGATCAGAAATCTGATTGCGCACCGTTCTCGGGCCGGAGGGGACGCGGTGAGGTGCTCCTGGATCCAGGGTCCAAGCGACTTCGCAGAAGGGGGCGCCTGCTGGGTTGGCATGGGCTTCTGAGGGGGAAAGTGTGAGGTGTCGACATGCTGCCCGACGTGGTCGCACGTGCACTGCGCAGCTGGCGCACTCTGCGCCGTTCGCGCACGTGGTGCGCCCGGGGCGCGTGGCACACCTGGCGCACGTAGCCTACGGTGCGCATCTGGCGCACCCGGCACAGGTGTCGCACCTCGCGAACAGGTGTCGCGCCTGGCGTCTGTATTGTTTCCCAGAGGCTGTCCAAGGGGCGGGGACCGCTGCCTATGTTGAGTCTTAGGTCTTTGTTATGTGGTGAGAGGGGTGGTGAGAATGAACAAGGCCGCTTGCAACGTTCGCGTAGGGAACTTGACCCCTTCCCCCCTCCCCTGGGTCTGAAGGGGGGGGCGCGAGGTGTCAGAGGGTCCGTTTTGATCCATGATGGCTCCAAGATAGACTGATCTATCTCGAGATGACCTGGTGGAATCGAGGTTGCGCAAAGGAATGTGCAGGTCATAGGGCGGATGCCCTCCCCCTCTCTGTGTCAGTGTATGTTCTCCCGCATCCATGTATATCCATCCTAACCATGACGGTCGCCGCCGCCGCCGCCGCCGCCGTCGCCGCCGCCGCCGTCGTCGCCGTCGCCGTCGCCGTCGTCGTCGTCGTCGTCGTCGCCGTCGTCGTCGACGGCCTCTGACGTGCGCGCTGTGGTCCCGTCGTCGGCCGCAGGCCCCCCGCCCAATCGGCGCTCCTCCTCGCGCAGCCTGCGCCCGAGCTCCGCGGCCCTGCGGGCAGGCTCGGGAGAGCGCGGCGAGGATGCGGAAACGGCGGGGGCGGGTCTGAGCCCATCGTGGTCATGTCAACACGGTGTGGCGACGTGGGCCCAGCACAGGAGAGCTCTGCACCCCGGGTGTGCCAGCTATGTGGTGCGCGCTGAGGTGGTGCAGCTCATGCGCGCTGCCAGCACGGTGGTGCAGTCTGCGTGCGGTGCAGGCTACTCGGTGCAGCCGCAGTGGTGCAAGCCATGTCTGGTGGTGCAAGCGATGAGGTGAAGGCGGCGTGGAAGCCGCGGCTCGCACTCTGCAGCGCAAGCAGCGCAAGGCGTCCACGAGGCGCCGACGAGGCGCCGACGAGGCGACCACCGCGCGAAACCTCGGCAGACGCAACCAGCGCACGGGGCGCCCAGGAGGCGCCCACACGCGAAAAACCTCGGCAAAACCCGCCCAACGCACGGGGCGCCCACGAAACGTCCAATGGGCGCAACCTCGGCATAGCCAACCGCTTCCGTAAGCAGGCCAAGCAAGAACCCCTAAGTGCGACGGGGTACCCAGTGAGGGTGCTATCTGAAGTGATGCGAAGCTCGGTCCAACTTGTCCAAAGCCCTCGTGACTCCCGTTCGCCCAATCACCCGCTATGCCTTTCGGATCTATTGCATGTGTTCGTCCCTCCTTGCCCAGCCGCTTGGGGGCTCCAACCCCTGTGTCTTTGGGAACGTGTATGTTTGTTCTGGGTTCGCGGTGCTGTCGAATAGCTGACCCCCCTTCTTAGACAACCCAGTTGTCCGTCAATGCTTCCTCCTTGTCCTTGTCCTCGCGGGTGCCGTCGGGCTCCGTTCTCATCTGTGCCGCCGCTAACCTCTCCTGGTTGTTTGGGTCACCTTGTCTTTAAACCATTCGATAACGCGTTCTCGACATTCCGCGCTATGAAATGTATGGGTGGCGTCTCCTCTGGCTATTGCCTCTTACCGTAACATTCCAGCGTGGGTCCGATAACCATCTGCTCCGACTTCTGTACTGCGACCCCTCAAGCTACTACCGGCTGGGCATCCGCAGCTAAACCTTGACTAGATACCGCTGGCTCTGATCGCCTGGGTAACCCTTTCGTATTGTTAACTTCGTCCGAATTCCATTTCTCCTCATGACTTCTGTGCCGAGACTCGTGGGACTTGATGACGCCCCCTGGAGTGCCAACGATAAACTGTTGGCTTCCATAATCATTCATGTACTCCCAGGAAGACACAACTCCCCCACGTTGCTTTGAGGTCGTTGCCTCCTTTTTTAGACGGAGTCTTTCCCGTACATGATGTATTTTCCGAGCTTGGGAAAAAGTTCGTTGAATTCCCGAGCTGGGCACCTTTCGTGGGCCGTCGTGCCGTGAGTTTCTACCGTAAACTTGTTGCGAGAAGATGCATGAGCCACAAACCAAATCCTACCAGCCCTTTGGGCGACAGGTGGTCTAACGAGGGGCTCTTCTTTCCACTTCCACAACCCCTCTCTTCCCTTTGGGGAGGGGAACCCTCCTCCCCTCCCTGGTTTTTTCCCCACATCCAGAGTGGGGTTCTTGTTTTCCCAGGACACCCTCTCCTTCCCACCTTCCCACCTTCCCGCCTTTCCACCTCCCGCTCCCTCTTCCTATTCCTACCATACCATACTATACCATACCATGCAATACCGCTCCCTCTTCCTACTCCTACCATACCATACTATACCATACCATACAATACCATACCATACTATAGCAGACCACCGTACCTACCATACCACACCTAGGAAACCATACATACACCATCACCGCATACCTACCACAACATACAATACCATATAATACCTACCTACCACGCCCCGCCAAAGCGAGGACAGTATTCGCAAACCATATTATTTATCAGGTTTCGTGCCCCTCCCACCGCTCCAGGGAGGCCCCGCCAGAGCGAGGACAGTATTCGCAAACCATATTATTTACTAGCCGGCCGCTCTGCGGTTGATCGGGAGTTTCTGTATATAGAAGAAGGTGCGTGCGCTTGTTGGCGAGGGTGAGGATGAGGTTCCTCCTCCTCCTCCTCCTCCTCCTCCTCCTCCTCCTCCTCCATCCTTCTCTTGCCTCCGTCTGTCCTCCTCCACCCCACAGCTCCATCATCTTCTCCTCCTCCTCCTCCTTCTCCTCCTCCTCCTCCTCCTCCTCCTCCTCCTCTTCCTCCTCCTCCTCCTCCTCCTCCTCCTCCTCCTCCTCATTCCTCCTCTGGGCACCTCCCCCGGGGCGCGGATCCACCGGATCTGTCCGGATCTGTCCGGAAACGGTGCCGAGGCCGCTCTGGGCTTCAAGCGAGGGCACCGGTTTGGGATTCGTCGGCGGATCCACCAGATCCAGCGGATCTGTCCGGAAACGGTGCCGGAGGCCGCTCTGGGCTCCATGGGCACCTCCCCCGGGGCCGGTTTGGGATTCGTCGGCGGATCCACCGGATCCAGCGGATCTGTCCGGAAACGGTGCCGGAGGCCGCTCTGGGCTCCTCTGGGCACCTCCCCCGGGGCCGGTTTTGTGAGGATGTCTCAAGCGAGGGCGCCGGTTTGGGATTCGGCGGATCCACCGGATCCAGCGGATCTGTCCGGAAACGGTGCCGGAGGCCGCTCTGGGCACCTCCCCTGGGGCCGGTTTTGTGGCCGCTCTGGGCTCCTCTGGGCACCTCCCCCGGGGCCGGTTTTGTGAGGATGTCTCAAGCGAGGGCGCCGGTTTGGGATTCGTCACCGGATCCAGCGGATTCCAGCGGATCTGTCCGGAAACGGTGCCGGAGGCCGCTCTGGGCTCCTCTGGGCACCTCCCCCGGGGCCGGTTTTGTGAGGATGTCTCAAGCGAGGGCGCCGGTTTGGGATTCGTCACCGGATCCAGCGGATCTGTCCGGAAACGATGCCGGAGGCCGCTCTGGGCTCCTCTGGGCACCTCCCCCGGGGCCGGTTTTGTGAGGATGTCTCAAGCGAGGGCGCCGGTTTGGGATTCGTCACCGGATCCACCGGATCTGTCCGGAAACGGTGCCGGAGGCCGCTCTGCAGGCTCCTCTGGGCACCTCCCCCGGGGCCGGTTTTGTGAGGATGTCTCAAGCGAGGGCGCCGGTTTGGGATTCGTCACCGGATCCACCGGATCTGTCCGGAAACGGTGCCGGAGGCCGCTCTGGGCTCCTCTGGGCACCTCCCCCGGGGCCGGTTTTGTGAGGATGTCTCAAGCGAGGGCGCCGGTTTTGGATTCGTCACCGGATCCACCGGATCTGTCCGGAAACGGTGCCGGAGGCCGCTCTGGGCTCCTCTGGGCACCTCCCCCGGGGCCGGTTTTGTGAGGATGTCTCAAGCGAGGGCGCCGGTTTGGGATTCGTCACCGGATCCACCGGATCTGTCCGGAAACGGTGCCGGAGGCCGCTCTGGGCTCCTCTGGGCACCTCCCCCGGGGCCGGTTTTGTGAGGATGTCTCAAGCGAGGGCGCCGGTTTGGGATTCGTCGGCGGATCCACCGGATCCACCTGTCCGGAAACGGTGCCGGAGGCCGCTCTGGGCTCCTCTGGGCACCTCCCCCGGGGCCGGTTTTGTGAGGATGTCTCACGCGAGGGCGCCGGTTTGGGATTCGTCACCGGATCCAGCGGATCTGTCCGGAAACGGTGCCGGAGGCCGCTCTGGGCTCCTCTGGGCACCTCCCCCGGGGCCGGTTTTGTGAGGATGTCTCAAGCGAGGGCGCCGGTTTGGGATTCGTCACCGGATCCAGCGGATCCGTCCGGAAACGGTGCCGGAGGCCGCTCTGGGCTCCTCTGGGCACCTCCCCCGGGGCCGGTTTTGTGAGGATGTCTCAAGCGAGGGCGCCGGTTTGGGATTCGTCACCGGATCCAGCGGATCCACCGGATCTGTCCGGAAACGGTGCCGGAGGCCGCTCTGGGCTCCTCTGGGCACCTCCCCCGGGGCCGGTTTTGTGAGGATGTCTCAAGCGAGGGCGCCGGTTTGGGATTCGTCACCGGATCCAGCGGATCTGTCCGGAAACGGTGCCGGAGGCCACTCTGGGCTTCTCTGCTCCCCGCGCCGGGGGTGAGGATGACGGTAGTTCCACAGAAACTCCCTCAAATTAGGTTTCGTGCCCCTCCCACCCCTCCAGGGAGGCCCCGCCGGGGCGAGGACAGTATTCGCAAACCATATTATTTATCAAGTTTCGTATTCCTCCCGCCGCTCCAGGGAGGCCCCGCCAGAGCGAGGACAGCATTCGCGAACCATATTATTTATCAGGTTTCGTGCCCCTCCCACCCCCCAGGGAGGCCCCGCCAGAGCGAGGACAGTATTCGCAAACTGCACCACTTATCAGGTTTCGTGCCCCTCCCAGCGCTCCAGGGAGGCCCCGCCAGAGCGAGGACAGTATTCGCAAACCATATGATTTATCAGGTTCCGTGCCCCTCCCACCGCTCCAGGGAGGCCCCGCCAGAGCGAGGACAGTATTCGCAAACCATGTATTATTTATCAGGTTTCGTGCCCCTCCCACCCCTCCAGGGAGGCCCCGCCAGAGCGAGGACAGTATTCGCAAACCATATTATTTATCAGGTTTCGTATTCCTCCCGCCGCTCCAGGGAGGCCCCGCCAGAGCGAGGACAGTATTCGCGAACCATATTATTTATCAGGTTTCGTGCCCCTCCCACCCCTCCAGGGAGGCCCCGCCAGAGCGAAAACAGTATTTGCAAACCATAATATTTATCAGGTTTCGTGCCCCTCCCAGCGCTCCAGGGAGGCCCCGCCAGAGCGAGGACAGTATTCGCAAACCATATTATTTATCGAGTTTCGTGCCCCTCCCACCGCTCCAGGGAGGCCCCGCCTGAGCGAGGACAGTATTCGCAAACTGTATTATTTATTAGGTTTCGTGCCCCTCCCACCCCTCCAGGGAGGCCCCGCCAGAGCGAGGACAGTATTTGCAAACCATAATATTTATCAGGTTTCGTGCCCCTCCCACCGCTCCAGGGAGGCCCCGCCTGAGCGAGGGCAGTATTCGCAAAC